ACTTTGACCCAATTAACCTTATAACCTTGTGACAATAACAATATTAAAAAAAAAATTTTTTTAAAAATATTATAAATTATATATAAAAAATTTTATTCACTTTACACTTTATTTTCTTTCGCAATTAAAAAAAAAAAAATAATAATAATAAAATAACAAATATCAAATAAATAAAAACAAAATAATAAAACAAAATAAAAAAAATATACAGTGCACACCGGTAATTTTCGTTTCATAAATTACGAAGAATGGATTCCAAATGTTCTGCAGCTAGTTGCCATGGTATTAAAGGCATGGAAGTAGTGTCATGCAAGGGATTTTGTAGAAATTCCTTCCATGGTACATGCCTAGGAGCTCCACATGGTTGGTACAGTGCATTTTTGGCGAACCATTTCATCTGCACGGATTGTTGCTCAGTCAACAAATCGTTGGACGAGTATTTCTGCAAACTGGAACATCAGATCGATGCAGTAAATAATAACTAATAGGAATGTGGACTGCATAAAAAACAACGCGGTCAGCTTCAACGAGATGGAGAGTAATTTTGAAATGTGGAATAAATCGATGTCAACATTCAAAGAAGAAATAAAGGGGATTGTGAGAAGTCAAGTCAAAAAGCAGACACCGGATCTCAACTCATCAATCCTTGAGAACAAGATTGACGGGGTTGGGCTAATTGTTGCCGAAAATATGGATAAAATCTTATCGGCTCTGGATACACGTGTCAATCGTATTGACGACACTTCTTATAACTTACTAGCTTCTGCCCAGGATGACATCGCTTTGATCAAGAACAAAATCGACAGTCTCGCAAACCTCGGTGGCATGATAAGGGAACTTAGCTCTCAATTTGACGAGTTGATAAAATTCAACGATAACAAAATTATCAAAACAATGGACAAGTCCTTACATGCCGAATTGCTTGAGGTATCGAAGGAAGCGATGAAAGAAAACACTGAATCTGATATCAACCCAAGCGAACCATCAAGCATTGCTTATACCAAAAATGATCTGGTTGGCCTTAAACCTCCTGCCACCGTTGCTCTGCCTATTTTTAAATGTTGAACCTCAAAATTATCTCTAGATACCACAAAAAATAGCCTGGAGGATTTCTTACGTACCAGATTCAAATGTACAGAGGTAGTTTGTAAGAAAATTACACCGGCGTTTCTCAAGCAGAAGGCAAAATAAAAAGGTGAGAACCTTTAAAGCCAATGTACCAAGGTCTAAACTATGGAAAATTCTAAATCGTAAGCATTGGCCAGCAGGTACTCTTTTGGAAAAATTTTTCGATAAAACTAACATTAAAGTTAAGAATAAACTGCCTGTTAGCGAACAATTGCTAACACTTTTAAAAATTTAAATAAAAGATAAGTTTTTCTTTCTTTTTTTTTTATAATTATCAGTTTATTGTAGAAAGCACCAAATCAAAAAAAACCATGTACTCTTTTTTCTTTTAAAAAATTTACAAAATAAATATCTTTATATATATGTATATTATATTTTCCTTTTCTTCAATTTTTTCTTTCTTCAAAAAATTTCACAATACAAATTTATACAAATGTCATATATAAAGGTTGAAATTATATAATCCAAAAAATGATCTTTGTTTAACAATACTTTTTTCTTGGTTTAAATTATACAATTCAAAAAATTATTTTTATTTCGACAAAAAATTCATAACTCGAAAGTCGATATGTTGCGGTTAGCGAACTTCTATTAGTAGCACTTCTTTTGGATGATTCTGTCCCTTTTATAATTTCTGGAACAAGCGGTTGAGCAAACGGTGAAGTTGTTCCTAGCCAGTCCCACTTTTCGGTTGTTAACGTTTTCTTCTTTTCTTTTACATAGATCATATGGTATAGTTCAACGAACCTGTAATGCAATGTATCATTCTCATGTACATCGCAATACAAATTGTTGTTGTAAAATTCTACGTTTCTTCTTTTCTATTTTATGCTATTTTCCCCTTCCATTCTCCATTTCATTCACCTTCTATTTCTTTTCTTACTCCATTACACTTCCATCAATAGCTGACTATAACTCTAAACAAACTCATCTATGATCATAGGTGACAGCTGGCAGAATTGAAATATAATATTTGTGCAGAAATGAGCGCTGCAAACTGTCACCCACCAGTTTTATTTATATTGTGATGTGAAGTATAAATTTTTAAAGAAAGAATATCAAAATTTTACACAAAAAAAAATGGAGATTTAAAGGAGCCGGAGCCCAAAATGAAATGCAGAAATGGAAGAAAAAAACGATGGAGGAGTGAAGAGCAACCAAAAAGTGCTGGAGCGGCACTTGAAGATCCCATCTGGACTGGTAGATGCATAGCTGGAAGACATTGCAAATTTATGTAAGTATTTTATTGCAAATAAAATTACATGTTAAATCCAATATATATTCAATTTTAGGTGAAGAACAAAAACGCGCTGAGTGGATTACTCTGGATTATAGCAAATTTAGATGAGTAGCAAAAATTTTGTTTTATATCAAGTAGTGTTTCTTCGTGGTTTTTTTTTTTTGTTGTTTTCTTTTTAGGAAAGGAGAAAAATGAACTGTGACGTCATGACGGAACATTCTCCCGGCCTTGGCATCCATGTTGAAAGATGACAAAACAGTGACGTGCTGATGGGTTGCTGGAGCATAAAAGGTGTGTTGCTGGTGAACAACGATATTGATACCGAATTAGCCATATTGTGATGATAATTGGTAAGTTTTCAAGTTTCGATTAAACATTCCAAATGCAAGTTGTACCCATCACTAAAGTCATGTTTTTTTTAGGTCTTCACCTGTAACATGAAGAGCAGAGGGATAGAAGGAAGAAGTTTATCTCGCTTTATCTCGCTTTATCTCGCTTTCCGGAATTCAGGAAGTGGGAATTAGGATAAAGAAAAAAAATCTATTAGTAATAAGTTAACTAACAAATTAATTTAAGTGTTACTAATTTTAAATTTTAAGTTAATTTTAAGCGTAGGTTAGAAATATTTGTATTAGGTGCCTCTACTTTCTCTTTTTTTACGTTAAGTAGCGCAAGTTAGGTTTTATTAGGTAGTGCGATGTTAGGTGCAATTCGGTAACGTTAGTTTGCGCGATTTGCTCCTGTTGTTTTTTCGTTTTATTGCGTATTAAGTGTAGTGCTAGTTGCGTACGATTAGATAACGATACATTACGCGATTTTTTTTTTGTTTCTCAAAAATGCGATTAATAGGTCTCGATTGATTGCGTTTCGGTTTCATCATAATTTTCCATCGTATCTACTGGTAGTAAGCATATCTTTGCAATCAAGTGCTTCAACATATTATCCTTCGTTTTTAACGAAACAACTCGAACAAGTCCATCGGGACCAGGATGAATCTCTATTATTCGACCCATCAACCATCTGCTTGGTGGCAACTTCTCGTCCCTGAGTAAAACCAAATCACCAATTTTCATGTTGTCAGTCCTTTTAGTCCATTTTGGACGCTGCTGCAATCGGTATAGGTATTCTTTATTCCAACGTGTCCAAAAGGTTTGATGTAATTTTTGTAATAGTTGCCATCTGTTTAATCCATTTTCATTTAAATCCAGCAAAGAAGGTTCAGGTGGTGTAATAATTACATCACCAGTCAGGAAATGCCCATGTGTTAGGGCCGTGCAATCGTCTAGATTTCTGCTAATTTCACAAAGAGGTCTAGAGTTTAGGCAAGCCTCAGTCTGAGTTAGGACCGTTGAAAACTCCTCATATGTCAACTTCGCATTTCCGAGTATCTTTTAGATCGATGTTCTTGTGGAAGGGCCTCTAGTAGTTCAGCTGCGTTTGATGACCACTGCTTTGTAGAGCGGACATCAGCCTCCCATAATCCGCCAAAGTGAGGTGAATAAGGTGGTATGAATTTGAAAATCACTCCTTCATGTTCGTGTACTTGTGCTAATTCTGATTTTAATTGTTGTAACATCTGTTTATGTTGCTTTGCAAGTTCTTTGCTAGCGCCGACAAAATTAGTACCATTATCGCAATAGAGTACCTCGCACCTGCTGCGTCTGCTACTGAACCTTCTGTATGCTGCGATGAATCCCTCGCTGCTAAGGTTCGTGACCAGCTCGATATATATAGCCTTAACTGCAAGACATATAAAAATAGATATGAACGCCTTATATGTCCTCGTATTTTTGCCTTTATAAGTTCTCAATTCAAATGGCCCGCAATAATCAACACCAGTATATGTAAATGGCCGACTGGCCCTAATCGAAAAGCAGGACACGTGAGCATTTATGTATTTGCTGGCGCATTTGATTCCATGCACCAATGATCCAAAACTTTCTAGTTATTACGTTGAGCATAAATTGAGCACCACCATGTAAAGTTTCGCGATGAATTTTTTCTAAAAGTAGTCGCACAAAATGGCATTTATCGGGCAATATAATCGGAAATTTCTCATCGTAATTCAAATCTGCGTGTCGCAATCTGCTACCCATTCTCAATATTCCATTATGATCCAGAAAAGGATTAAGCCTCGTTAAACGACTGTTTGTATGAATAAGTTTTTTTTGCTTTTGTGTCACTTCTTATAAAAAAATGTTTATGTTGCACTATTTGTGTCCACATCTCCACGCTAGCGTTGAAATCTGACACCGATATGAATATATTGCAATTTAGATTCCTTTTGGTTACTTTGGCGATGAATCTTTTGATGTAACTCGTTACATTGATGAGTTTCGTAAATGATGAATATCGTGTTTCCAATTCGTGAATCTCGTTGCATTCTTTATCATTTATGATCGCGTTGTGACACAGAGTCGATTTTCGTATCTCGCTATCCGTATCTTGAAGTAGTATTTTAGTTGGCCAGTGTGATTCCGACTTCTTCAACCATTCTGGGCCGTTCCACCACATTTTGAAGTTTTTAAGATCTGGTGGATGCATTCCCCGTGAAGCACAATCTACTGGGTTTTTCTTTGACGGTACGTGACGCCATATGTTTTTGCCTAATGTGTGATGTATCTCAGCAGTCCTATTTGCTATAAACGTTGTCCATTTGCTCGGGTGAGCCCGCAACCAAGCCAACACGATCTCTGAATCTGTTCAAACTTGCACCTTCGATATATTTTGAATTTTCAATACTCGCTGGACATATTTCATAAGTTTCGCCAATAATGCTGCGCCGCTCAAAAGATATTGTTTTTATTGGAACCACCTTTGATTTTGCAGTTAACATGCTAGTTTTTCGGCCTCCCTTTTCGTCTATGACAACCAGGTAGACCACTGCAGCATACGCCTTTATCGAGGCATCATAAAATCCATGTAGTTCTATTTTATTTGCCGATGTTGAATAGTAGAACCATCTGTTTATACGTAGTGCTTCCAGATGAACAAGAGTCTTCCTGTAAATCTGCCATTCATCGTGCAAGCTCCTTTCTATTTCATCATCCCAGCCTGAACCCAAAAGCCATAATTTTTGTATCATTATCTTAGCTATAATGATACAAGGTGCCAACCAGCCGAGAGGATCAAAGAGTTTTGAAACCTCCGACAATATTGTTCGCTTTGTCCATTTCCGTGAATCATTTTCTAGTAGGGAAATTTTATACGAAAATTGGTCGTTTGCTGGATCCCATTGTATGCCCAATGTTTTGACTGTTTCAGCTTCCTCAATTTTTAAAGGCCAATTGATTTCTCGATGTTCTTGTGGAAGGGCCTCTAGTAGTTCAGCTGCGTTTGATGACCACTTGCGCAAAGAGAATCCGCCCGAAGCCATCATGTTCAATAATTGTTTTTGCATTTCTAATGCCTTTTCGATAGAATCCGCACCCGACAGCAGATCATCCACATAAAATGAATCCAACGTTATTCTTGATGCAATAGGATAGTTTACCTTTTTATCTATCGCCAACTGTTTTAATACTCCTGTTGCTAGAAACGGTGCTGATTTTGTACCAAATGTTACTGTAGTTAATTTGTAGTCCCGAATTGATTGACTCGGAGAATCTCTCCAGACTACTCTTTGATAATCGGCATGTTGCGGTGCGATTCGGATTTGCCTATACATCTTCTCCAAATCTGCTGTAAATGCAATTTTATATTTTCGAAAACGTAATAGAAGAGTAGATAAATCATCTTGTATGACCGGGCCCTTTAATGTTTTGCCATTTAATGATGAACCATTTGAAGTAGGCCGTGATGCATCAAAAACCACTCGTAGTTTCGTAGTTGAGCTACTTTCCTTTATGACACCGTGATGTGACAAATAATTCGAGATGATTTGTTGTCGTTGATTTTTTAATTCCATTGAATTCACTTGCTCCATATGGTTCATATCTAAATATTCTGCTATGCACTTGTTGTAGTTGTCTTTCAATACCTCATTTTTTGAAAATTGCTTCTCCATGCCGAAAAGCCTAGCAATCGCAATGTGTCTTGAACTTCCAAGTGATACGGGACGCTCATCTGGTATAAAAGGTAAGTCAACCTGATAGCGTCCTTCCTCAAGTCTACGAAATGTTTCAGAAAAATGCCTTTCACACAATAATTCCTCCTCTGTAAATATTGTGTGTTCCGGTTTTTCTTCTAACTCCCAGAACCTGATACTATCATCTAAATCGGATTGGATGTGTGACGTCTCTATTGATGTCGTGTTGACACTTTGTTGATCGACATGTCCGTTACGATCCATCCAAAAATAGTTTTTTGAGCAATTGGTGCACCAGGAGGACACTTTCTTAGTCCCTCCAAAATAATTTGGCCAAAAATGTCTGCTCCGATGAGTACATCTATTTTTCCCATCGCAAAATAACTTGGATCAGCTAGGATCAATCCGTCTATGTGTGACCACTCCTTGGTTTGAATATTACGCTCTGGTAGCAAGTTGGTCAGTTTCTTGAGAACCAATGCCGAAGTTCGCACCTGCTTGGAATCCCCTAGATCTCGTATGATGACATCCACTTTTGCTAATGATTGGCCGATGTTGCTTTCTGGTACACCGTGTATATTTGTTATTGTCCTGTTTTTTCGTAATTTTAAATTCTGAACCGCTGATTCGGTGATGAAAGAACTCTGCGAACCAGGATCGATTAGAGCTCTCGCCCTCTGATAGCGTCCCGTTGGCAAGTGGTCATCATATGTCCAGAATTAAGACAGTTGATACACAATCCCCTACCTTTAACAGCTTCCAATCCTTTGTTTTGTCTTAATTCCAAAAATCTTTTGCATTGTTTCAACTTGTGGGGGCCCCGACAAATAGGGCAAGGTGGGTTACTATTCGCCGTTGCATCCGTAGCAGCATGTAAAGCGCAACTATTCCTGTACTTACTAGCTTCGTTTTGTATAGGTCTATAATGTGACGAAAATCGCCTCGTTCATATAGCCTCCAATACGCGAAATCAAGTTTCAAGGAAACTTTCCAATTGACGCCAAGTTGGCAATTGATTTTCCGCGCTGACGCTCTGTTCCCATAGCTGATGTGTCTCGGTTGGCAGGTTTTGCACGATGAGATAAACTATTATAAGATCCCAGCCCTCCACATCTATTTGTAAATTCTTTAATGCCTGTAAGCATTCATTAGTAGTGTCCAGTAATTTTTTAACTGCTGCAGCCGTTTCCTGATTTACAAAACTTTGGTTGAGTAGCAATTTAAGCTGAGTATTAAATAATGCTCGCTTGTTGTCATATCTTTCTTTCAACATGTTGAATGCGGCAGCATAATTATCCTCTGTTATACTTTGATTTGGGTCCATCTTTAGCTCCGGTGGTCTCTCTGGGAATTTGGTTTTCATTTCAGCTTCTATCATTTGATGTTTATGTTGATAAAATATTTTTATTTCGTTGAAAACGCTGTTTTCCAAGTAAGGGTACTTCACATTGTCCGCATTCTTGTCAGTGTACGATGCAACCAATATTTTTCTATGCCTCTTCTTCAGCTCGGCATACAGACCCCCCATGCCATCTGGTGCTTCTTTGTAAAACCCCTTCGGCTTGCTTTCACGTGTGTCATCCTGAAAATGTGAGACTATTTCCTCGATCGAAAACTTGTCCGCTAATTGAAGCTTAATTAACTTGTCCATCCTATATACTTTCTGTAAAAAATAAACAGCAGGTGTGTCACGAAAATATCCTTTTACCTCAATGCAAAAGGAGCGAAATACAAAAGTAAACGAATACGGGCAATGTTCGCGAATAATTGCTAACACTTTTAAAATATTTAAATAAAAGATAAGTTTTTTTCTTTAGAATTCTCAGTTTATTATAGAAAGCACCAAATCCAAAAAAAATTATGTCCTCTTTTTCTTAAAAAAATTTACTAAATAAATATGTATGTTTATATATATATATGTTATATTTTCTTTCTCTTCAATTTTTTTTTTCTTTCAAATTATTTCACAATACGAAAGTTATGTATACAAAAGTTGAAATTATATAATTCAAAAAAATGATCTTTGTTTTAACAATACTTTCTTTCGGTTTCAATTACATAATTCAAAAAATTATCTTAATTTTGACAAAAAATGTATAATTCGAAAGTCGATATGTTGCGGTTAGCGATCTTCTATTTAGTAGTACTTCTTCTTGATGATTTTGTCCCTTTTATAACTTCTGGAACAAGCGGTTGAGCAAATGGTGAAGTTGTTCCTAGCCAGTCCCACTTTTCGGTTGTTAACGTTTTCTTCTTTTCTTTTACATAGATCATATGGTATAGTTCAACGAACCTGTAATGCAATGTATCATTCTCATGTACATCGCAATACAAAGTGTTGTTGTAAAATTCTACGTTTCTTCTTTTCTATTTTATGCTATTTTCCCCTTCCATTCTCTATTTCATTCACCTTCTTTTTCCTCTCTTACTCCATTACACCTCCATCAATAGCTGACTATAACTCTAAAAAAACTCGTCTATGATCATAGGTGACAGCTGGCAGAATTGAAATATAATATTTGTGCAGAAATGAGCGCTGCAAACTATCACCCACCAGTTTTATTTATATTGTGATGTGAAGTATAAATTTTTAAAGAAAGAATATCAAAATTTTACACAAAAAAAAATGGAGATTTAAAGGAGCCGGAGCCCAAAATGAAATGCAGAAATGGAAGAAAAAAACGATGGAAGAGTGAAGAGCAACCAAAAAGTGCTGGAGCGGCACTTGAAGATCCCATCTGGACTGGTAGATGCATAGCTGGAAGACATTGCAAATTCATGTAAGTATTTTATTGCAAATAAAATTACATGTTAAATCCAATATATATTCAATTTTAGGTGAAGAACAAAAACCCGCTGAGTGGATTACACTGGATTATAGCAAATTTAGATGAGTAGCAAAAATTTTCTTTTATATCAAGTAGTGTTTCTTCGTGGTTTTTTTTTTTTTGTTGTTTTCTTTTTAGGAAAGGAGAAAAATAAACTGTGACTTCATGACGGAACACTGCCTAACCACGACACTAATTCTACTAACAGTAACTTTATTAATAATAATAGAAATAGACTTGACAGTAGAAAAGAGAAAAACAATAGAGACACAAATTTTAACAATAACAATACTAGCAAAATTAATACAAAACATAGTACTACTAATTTAAAAAACAACAATAACAGAAATAAAAATAGGAACAACAATGACAACATTAATAAAAATAAAGGCAGCAATAAAAGGAATAATAATAATAATAATAATCATAATAATAATAATAATAATAATAATAATAATAATAATAATAATAATAATAGCAATAATAATAATAATAATAATAATAACAATAATAATAATAATAATAATAATAATAATAATAATATTAATAATAATAATAATAAAAATAATAATAATAATAATAATAAAAAAAAAAAAATAATAATAATAATAATAATAATAATAATAATAACAATAATAATAATAATAATAATGATAATATCAATAATAATAATAATAATAATAATAATAATAATAATAATAATAATAATAATAATATTAGTAATATAATAACAACCAAAATAATAATATTAATAATAATAATAATAATATTGATAATAACAACAATACCAGCAACAAGAACAATAATAATAACAATTATAGTATTAATATTAATGACAATAATCATAATAATAGCAATAATAATACTAATAGTAATGACAGTAATAATAATGACAGCAATATTAATATTAATAGCAATAATACTGACAATCATATGAAAAATAATAACAATAACAATGATATTAGCAAGTATTCAAATTTCATCAAGGACGAAACATTCAACGGGACCGTAAAAGCTCAAACTTGTAAAAGTGGCGAAACCAATGCGGCGAATACTCAAACTACTCAAATTCCCATCTTGCCTTCACAATCTTTTATAGCTCCACTTGTTCCACCAGTTGTTCGTATGACAAAAAAGGCAGTTGAGGCTGGTGACAGTACGTACATTTTGTCTCGCTTTAGAGACAGGGTTGTCTATGAAAACGTTAAGCTTTATCTAGCTTACTTACATGACGCGGCGGACACAGTGCATCATGACGGCAAGACTCAGTTCAGCATAAAAGTTTTCATAGAAAGTGAGGGTTTCCCCTCTGATTACACTCTCCTCCTGAGACTGTACAAAAGATTTCATGACACTTTAAATATGCAACCTGCAAGTGTCGAGAAGGACCTACAGACTTATCGGAAACAAATGAAGAGTAAATGGGTTGATTACTTACAAAGAATGAGGGAATCAAACGATCAGCTTTTTCTTCCGTCAGGATCCTCTAAATCGCCATCAAAATGGTTTAAATAGTGACGGACCCACCCTTAAAGCCTCCCATAGTAGTCTTGTGACCATTCGTCCCATCAAATCATCTGTTTTCCCTAACATATTTTACCATAATTGCAGCTGTTTAAGAGGAGAGCTTAAAAAGCTCTTTATTGATGCTAAGTCTTGCAATTTCAATATTTCAACTCTTATGGAAACATGGTTGAACGATTCTTTCAAAAATGAGGAAATACTTGACAGTAATTGGTCTCTATACAGAAAAGACCGTGATTATACAACTACTGGTCAATCCAGGGGCGAGGGCGTTTTGATCGCCGTCAATAATCGGTTACAAAACCAATTGGTATCCATTTCAGTTTTTTCCACATTCGACCATCAATTTATCAAAATATACTCAGGTAGAATCTATACCTATGTGGGAGTGGTTTACTTTCCCCCTAATTCTGACGATCCTCTTATAACGATTTCTTTACCATATGTAACGAAATATTTTCACAAATGCATGAGGATGATGAGATAGTTTTTCTAGGTGATTTTAATCGGTCGGCTTTATCGTTTATTAACGATGAATATGATAACCATCTTCTTCCAGTCAACTTCATGGAAGACATCGATTTTAATCTCGTTAGTACGTTCTATGGGAACGACTTGCAGCAGGTGGTACGTTACCCAAATGAAAGAGGTAATTGGTTGGACTTAGCTTTCTTAAATGCCTATGACAGCATACGGGTCCGACTTGCTACAGATGAAGAGAACCTTTTCAAAAATTCTAATCATCATAATGCAATTGTTCTCGAATTTCCTAATAACAAACTTAAGTTCTCTAAATCTTACAATAAAGAGATTGTATATGATTTTCTTAACGCCGACTACAACGGCATCAATTATGCTCTTAACTTAATTAATTGGAACGATATGTTCCATCAGCACAATTTAGACAATATT